TGACCAGCACGCCAGCATCAGTTCGCACCTACTCTGGGGATATGGCCCACTGTGTCAACACCAACAGCCTGACATTGTTTGGTAGGGCTTTTGTGCCAACTTTCAAGCCACCAGCTGAATACACCGATATGTTTTACAATTTCACAAAGCTGAAGTCAGACCATTGTGTTATTGTTTAAAGGGGTCCTATTATGCTCTTTTACAAAGTCTTGATTATGTTTTGGGGGTGTACTAGAACATGCTCTCATGCTTGGTGGTTCGAAAAACGCATTATTTTTCACATAATTTACATTATTAAAATACCTTTCTCCCCAGCCTGGCACAAACGGCTCGATTAGTTCTGGGTTTTAATGAAGGCCCGCCTTTCGAAAAAAACGAAATGTGTTGTGATTGGTTAGCTGTATTAGTGCATTGTGATTGGCGAACAGCTTAGACTGTGTTTCAGTACTGCCACGCCCCTTGCTCCGTCTTTCAACAAAAACTTTTGGGCGAATCTGGCACTGTACTCCCTCGTGTATAGCATAGCAAGTTGTGAGCCGCTTTGTGATATCACAAAGCCCGGAAACCAACACTGTAGTCCAAATGAGCCATTTGCTGTAGTTCTTGAAAAGGGATTTTTAAAAAAATTAAATATCTCCCTTTGGAGTTGACTTTGAGATTTGTAACTTTCTAGATCTTTTTTATGCCCAAACATACACACTACACACTGACTAAAATTAAAAAGTGAAAAAGCATAATAGGACCCCTTTAAAATTTTCAATAAAAAAAAATAAAAATTCCAGGCTAGGAAAGCCTTAGTTTGTCTATATGAAGAGATTTATTTTATTTGTATCATTCATTTATTTATTTGAGTTGTGATTTCTTTTAAAATTTCAATTTATTTTTGTTATTTAAAAGATACAAAAAAGTTACATAAAAGATATTTTAATTTCACAGTGAAATGTGCAGCATTTTGTCTGAGAAATAATAAAAGGACACTTTTTCAATTATAATCGGTCTTTAATCTCATTTTGTTAAAAAAAATTGTGAAAATATCGTATTGTAAAACAGTATTGTGAATCGTATCGCATTGTGAGTTGAGTGAATCATGACTTTTATTCCCATTACAAATATAAGAGTTGCAAATATAAAAGTCTGATTACAGTTGCATCTATGAATATGATTAGTCATTTATATGCATGTACATATGTTTGTTTTTTTTGTTCTTTTCATAGGAGAGCTGCTCGGTGTTGACTACCTCCTGAGTCAGACTGGATAGCCCCTGACGGTGGACCCTGACTCAGAGGAGACAGAGGACATGCTGGAGGATGTGAATGAAGGCGAGGATGAAGACGAGGGCTTCAGGGAAGACCATGACATTACTGTGTCAAGTCTCTCTGATGACCCAAGCTTCTCTGTCTCCTCCCACTTTCTACCCTCCTCCGAGTCTCTCTTTACCCAGTCTGCTGTCTTCTCTCAGCCTGCTACCACCCCCTCCCTACCTGTTGCCTCAACCCTGACGGCTGCCGCCTCCTTCTCTCAGCCTGCCACCTCCTCCACCCTGGCTGCTGCTGCTGCCTCCATCCAGGTCTGCCTCTTACGGGGGCAGCGCTTGCAGGCTCACCACCTGATCCCTGAAGGGAGTTGTGGGAACCTTGGGCACATAGCTGGGCCGGGACCTTAGAATTACCAGGGAGTCAGCCAGCCCAAACTCTAGGCACGAATCGTCGAACGAAAATGCGTGCAGCTTGCCTACCCTCTTGATAGAGGCCAGTGCAAGCAGGAGCAGAATTTTCAGTGATAGAAACTTCAGCTCAACTGACTGCAAAGGCTCAAATGGGCCCCACTGTAGTGCTTTGAGCACTAGAGAGAATAGAGGGGGGCCGGGGAGGATTTAACATTCTTGCCCCCCTAAGGAACCTGATGACCAGGTCATGCTTCCCTACCGACTTCCCCTCCACGGGGTCATGGTTATCAGCAATCGCAGAGACATAGACTTTAAGGGTGGAGGGAGACAGCCTTCGCTCCAACCCTTGCTGCAAAAAGGAAAGCACGACCCTGATCGGGCATCTCCGGAGGTCTTCACGGCAAGAAGAACACCATTTGAAGAACAGGTTGGTTTCACTTCAAGGCTAAAGTGTGTCTCGTAGACACTGCTCTCGCCAAAGTGATGGGACCAGACATGAAGATTCCAGAGGTCTGGACGCAGGTGCCACAGGGTGCCCTGTCTTTGAGTCAGTAGATCCTTCTTCAGAGGAATCTGCCAGGGAGGGGCTGTCACGAGGAGCATTAGTTCCGGGAACCAGGTCCGAGTGGGCCAATACGGCGCCACAAACATGACCTACTCCTTGTCCTCCCTGACCTTGCACAGCATCTGTGCGAGAAGGCTCACTGGGAGAAACGAATACTTGCGCAGGCCCCGCGGCTTTATTCTATTTTGGCCGTTGTCCAAAAGTCTTGGCCTCACTGTGTGTACAGATGCTCTCACACCAACCTGCTGCCATTCCTGAGCAAGCTCTGCACTGGTGGTGACACGATTCTGTAGCTGACTCCTCAGGAGGAGACAGTCCAGCCACTTGCTGGACACTCTGGGACGTCCTGAAGACTTCTTCACTGCAGTCGAACCTCTCTCCTTGAAGTTCTTGATGATCCGGTAAATGGTTCTTTCAGGTGCAATATTCTTTGTAGCAATTTCCTTGCATGTGAGGCCATTTCGATGCAACGCGATGATGGCTGCACATGTTTCTTTGGAGGTAAACATTACTAACAAGAACACAATGATTGGAAGCGCTTCTTACCTCCATCAGTCTGTTCTTACAATCTATTTAGTATGATAGTGATTTCACCTGACTAGTACTCATTCACACTTTCACATGTGCTGCTGATATGATTAGTCATTTAATGTTAGCTGGTTATTTTGTGTCAGGATCAAAAAGCAGTGATTTTTTTTTGGTTTTTTTTTGTGAAAAGTTAATTTTTTTGGCCAATGAACACCACAACAGCTTAAGCAGCAAACTTTGCAAAACACAAAATTTGTCACTTCCAAAACTTTTGGCCACGACTGTACATGACAATGTTAATGTATTTGGTCTTGGCGGAATAGAGCAAGTACCGAGACTTGCTACTGCCAATACATCCACAACATGCTGCTGTGAACATGTATGTTATATTTGCAGCAGCAATATTTCTTACATGAAATAACCCCCCACAAAGCAGGAGACATAGAAGAGACAATACAAGTCAAAACAAGAACAACACACCCCCCAACATGCAGATCTATCACCAATACATATGTACTGCTGCTGCTCCGAAGAGCCATGTGAACCGCATGTATTACTATCTATGTGTGCCAGGGCCACCACGTCAACCGGCTTAACGCTAGTGGCCTATGACTATGGGAGCCTGGGCTACCACGCCGACTGGCTTAACACTAGTGGCCTATGACTATGGGAGCCTGGGCTACCACGCAGACTGGCTTAACTGTAAACATTACACATAGTGCGCGTCTAATTAATTAACAAAATGGATATACGTTGCAATCCGATAGATAAGACCCCAGCACCCACCTGGACAAATATCATAATTTAGTCATTTGATAACTGCTGTTACTTTCTCCACTTCATCGGTCCCAGCGGCAGCGTAACAGCTTGTAAATTCATGTTTGTGCAATGATGAGACGGACAAAGTTAGCCGATGCATGCTATTTTACTCTCTCGTGCAGATAAAGTTGTCAGAGTTACAGTGCACAAAAACCCTTGGGTGGACTGACCTGAATGAACTGAAATAAAAGCAAAATATAAATGTTTTTTTTACACACACGTGTCACGAGCACATTTCTCCGAACTACACTACCCATAATGATTTTCACTCGGGACTACGACAGCCGTAGATAGTGATCTTCAGCGTCTCCCGCAACACTGTCATTGATATGACTGCGATAAGCATGTGCTTCTGACACTGCGTGCAGCTGAAATCAACCACACACATCACAATGAAAACATCGACCTGAGATATAACGAACGTGAAAACTGGGATAATCGCCGATGTATATGGCGAACCCCCGTTGAAATGCAAACACAAGAATGCTTATTTCATTTAACCTGTTTCATGTCTGTTACTATCGGCGTGTCCTCAGAGCGATTACATGCTCTAAACTGCATTTTGCTCCAGCGGTATAAACACAGATGCTAAATGCTGCTGCTGCTAATATGCTTAATATTTCGCTCCTGCAAACTTTTACTTACTTTACTTTTAGGCATTTAGCAGACGCTTTTATCCAAAGCGACTTACAAATAAGAAAAAGTAATTAAAACTAAAAGCTAAAACTCTATAAATACTATATATATATATATATATATATA